AGCTCTTCTACTTAAATTGATTATTACTTCAAACAAGCTTGAAATTATGTTAGAAAAAGCAGTAAACTTTTTTTTTTTAATTTTATTTTATTTTTTTTAATTACAACAAATACCTCTATTAATTAATTATGTTATCTAAAAATTTTATTATATTCATATTAGCTCCCTACCGCTTGGCCTCCACTTCATCAAGAAATTGGCCCTATTTTACCTGATACTTTTCCATATCTATCTCCTGATCTTGAATTATTTCTTTCTAATCATCCTAGAACAATGTATGTTGCTTTTGGAACTTATGTATATACTACGTCTGAAAATTACGCTACTATCTTACAGTCTGCTCTTGAATTAATTAACCGGAATATTCTCGATGGTATGATCTGGGCAACTGTAACATTTAATGAATCAGAACTACCTTCTACCTTTAATATCTCTACTGGTGATGTTATATCCACATCCAATTTTTTAAATAATTTACACCCACATATTTATATCACTAAGTTTGCACCCCAGTTTGCAATACTTTCTCACGAAAATACTAAAGTGTTTTTAAGTCATGGTGGTGTAGGTAGTAGTCATGAATCTATGTATACTGCTGTTCCAATGTTAGTACTTCCAATAGCGTTCGATCAACCTGGAAATGCTGAAAGATTAGAACACACCGGTATGGCCTTAACACTTTCAAAACTTGATTTAAAAGTTGATGATATTATATCAAAGATTATAAGATTAGTGAATGATGAAAGTTTTAAAATTAATGCAAAGAAAATGCAAGTGATGGCAAAATATAATAGTAAAAGAAAGTATAGGGGTGCTGACTTAATTGAGATTATGATGAATCTGGCAAAGTTCGAAGGTGTTAAAAATGAAAATGGTGAATTAGAGGTAAACGTTGATGCTTTGTTAAGAAATTGGATATCTCCTGAGTCAAGAATGGGATTTTTTAGAGGAAATTATTTAGATGTTTTTGGTGTTGCCATGATTATTGGTATAGCATTGATTAGTAGTCTTAGTTACGGTTTTTACATGGCTGTTAGGTTCGCTTTCAACAAATTGTCTCTGGGAAATGGAAATTCTCATAAAAATCTCCCAAAAGCTAAAAATGAATAGACGAACATTACTCTTGTTATTGAATTACCGTCGTCCTCACAAACAATCACACAGTTGGATACTTAGTAAATTTTTTTAAAAAATATGTAAAGGAGTTGTGCTTATATGGAGATTTTTTTCTTATAAATTAAATCACAGTTTGGCCTAAACGTAAAGGTGATTACATGTAATTATATTGAAAAGACTATATGGAAGGATGACATATCAATTTGGATGTCCTTTTTCATCTGATACTTTGTCACATTTTTTAAACATTATATAAATATAATCAATAAAATTAGTATAATTTTTCTCATGTTATATGGTAAAAATTATTTGTGCTTAAATAGATTTTAAATAAATTTAAAAAACATTTATTCTCATAAATTGCAATAATGAAATTAAGGTTACATTAGCTACCAGCTTGTAAGCATAATCACAATAAAATATTACATTAATTCTCTAGCATATTACAACCGTACAAATTTGTTTCATAAAAAAAAAAAAAATAAAATATCATATATTAACGTTATAACCGAACATTATGATGACCTGCCTCACTAACAGATAAATTAATGTAAGATGACCTTAACATAAAAATACAAAGTATTAGTGGCTAATACAAAAGAGTCCATTCTAAACAAATTATTCGAGTCTTACTTAAAAAACACAAAGTTTTGTTTGAAAATAAAGCATAATAAGGTAATATATATATACTGTATTTATATTTTACCGAATTGATGTTATAATAAAATTAGCGATCCATTACGTAATTAGGGATGTAAAATTACGGTAATTTACATAATTTTGTGTAATTTTACGTAAGATTCGGTAAATTGAAATGATATTGCGTAGTGATGACTAGTTTTTAGTACTATGATTAGGTGAATCGATGTGATTGGTTGATCTTACATATCATCGATTAGATCCGTTACCAGATTGAAGAATAAGGCATATGGGTGAATTCACAGCAAAACCATGCTTAGAGCCGATTTTTTTTTTATGGAAATATCGACGTTCAAACAATTTTTGATATTGAAGATAAAATTAGAAACTGCAGTATTACACTACCATACCTGTACTATTGTTAATTGTTATGTAGCATCAATAATGGCATCGTTAATAATAAAATCACGCCAATATTAAGATTGATAATATGGAGTCTTTACCTTGTAAATCACCTTCCGACATTTCCAATCGGGTTAATTCGGACAAAACTAAACCCAAGTACCGGTTCATGTTCATATGTTAATCATCTTTACTTTTATTGATTCAATAGTTTATCGAATAACTATTGAATTAA